CTCGGGGTGACGATGCGCATCGGCCGTTACGTCCCGAACGCCTCGCGTGCGCTTCGCCCGCTCGTCGAGCGCGGCAGCCTGCTGATTATGTCGCGCGCGGGGGTAGGGAAGACGACGCTGCTGCGGGATCTCGCCGCGAGCATCGCGCAGCACCCCGGGCGGCCCCTCATCATGGTCGTGGACACCTCGAACGAGATCGGCGGCGACGGCCCGGTGCCGATGCCGTTCCTCGGTCGCTGTCGCCGCATCCAAGTCCCCCGGCGCAGCGACCAAAGTCGCGTCATGATCGAAGCCATTCAGAACCATTCCCCCCAGTACCTCGTCGTGGATGAACTCGCAACCGCCGAGGAGGCCGAGGCGGCGTGGTCGATCGCGCAGCGCGGGGTGCGGCTTATCGCCACATGCCACGGCGAGAACCTCGCCGCGTTGCTGCAGAATCAAGCTCTGAACCTCCTGGTTGGCGGCGCTGCGCAGGCCTTCTTGAGCAATGAGGAGCGGCGACTCCGAAACAAGGTCAAGAAAACCGTCTTGGAGCGCCCGCATAGCTCGCCTTTCGATTTTGTTGTAGAGCTTTGCGCCCGCAATAATGGGTACCTGTACTTCGATGTTAACAAGGCGGTGGATCTCATTTTAGATGATCAACCTGCCAAACCCAACGCCGCTGTTGGTGGGGAGGTGACGCTGAGTGAGCTACTTCCCCGTCGCATCGAAAGACGTCTTCGCATGCGGGAGCGCACGGCGCGGTTATCTGAAAGCCAACCAGATGAGGACTTAGACGAGGTGCCAGAGGACCAACCGTTCTCACGAGAATACGTAGACGATGATGGTTATCTGGTCACTGAAGCATCGGACCAACACGAAGGCCATAGAGGGGATTCAACCCTCGACGTTTTAGAAAGGAGACGTGACCGACTACACGGTAAAAGTCACTATGGAAAGCACGGGAAAAAAAATGAAGTGCTTCGTGAGGAGCTCTCGCGATTGTTCTGAGAAAAATACCTAACAGGGCGACAAGGATTGCTTTCCTTTATGTATGTCCATCTACTTTTGGCTTCAGCACTTTTTAGAGCATTTTTCCCTTTTTCTCCCTGGCTACCGTTGTCCTCCCTACTGTGGTTAGATTTCTCTCAATGGTGCTATTAGGCACTCGCGAACAGAAAATAGCTTATAAACACACATATACTCAACCCCATGAATCGATTAGGATTTGTGCGGCTTAGAAATGGAACTCTAATGTCCTTGTTTAGACAGAGGCGTTTAGTTGCAACCTTTGAGAGGGGCCCGACACCCTCAAATTCAGAGTCCGAGCACTCCTCGGCGTCAGCGCCCATTGCAACGCGACTCTACTCCCTGATGCAGTACCACCGGCTTCACCATCTCGACCCCAGAATGGGTAAGGGCAAGCAGCTCGAGCAGCAGGCGTGGTCGCTCCTCCAGGATTTGGATGAGGTCGAGGTGAAATCAATGGCCGCCAAAGATCTCGCGGAGTTGCTCACCGCGTGGTGCTACTTTGCCCGGTACTGGGATCGAGGGATGGATGGGCCCTCACCAAGAAGCCAAAAAGAAGATGAAGTAGCGACCAAAGAGGAGGAAAACCAGAGGTCAGGGACTGAATCCATTTGGGATGAGGTTCCGCTAGTAACGCGCGACAACACTCAAGCTGCGTCTTCACCCTACACGCAGCGGGAAGTCATGGCACCGCCTCGTCGTTCTAGCCCTCTGGATGAGGTCTTGGATTTTTAGTAAAACAGAACTGGTAAAATTTATGAAACTCTGCTTTTTCTTTTTTGCCGCAAGTTCTTGTGCATTTTATTTTTCTCACAATCGATGCGTTTTTCTATACTACGCTGCATTTCTCTCCCCTTTTCCTGCTATTGATAATTTCTTTTTTTAACAACAAGATAATTTTATCGTTCGAACTTAACAAAAAGCAACAGCTGTCAAACTCTTTTTCCTTATTATCCATTTAAAAATGCCTGTTTCGCTGTGGTGGTGGGCGGCATGCCGTGCTTTCCAGGGAGTAATGTACGTGGTTGCCCTTTTTATCCCCTGGCGGCGTCCTGAGCTTCTGAAAGGACCCGGTGCGATCAGCAAACTTCCTGCCTTTATCAAAGGCAAACGTCTGCAACGGGGTCTGATCGTGACCGACGGTGTCCTCATGCGCCTCGGCCTCCTCGACTCCTTCATCAGTGGGATGAAGGATGAGGGGCTGGAGGTTTTTATCTACCAAGGCGTGACCCCCAATCCGACCGAAGAGGAGGTTGAGGAGGGGCTGAAACAGTATTTGGATAACCAATGCGATCACATTATCGGTTTCGGCGGTGGCAGTCCCATCGACTGCGCGAAATTGGTCGGAGCACGCGTGGTGCGACCGAACAAGACGGTTAAGCAGATGGGTGGAGTCTTCAAGGTGCTGCGGGAGCTACCACCCCTTTTTGCGGTGCCCACGACAGCCGGCACAGGAACGGAGTGCACGCTGGGCGCCGTTGTGGTCGATACCAAAGCCAAGGAGAAGTACCCAGTTGAGGACCCCTCTCTGTTCCCCCACTATGCGGTGCTGGATCCGTGTCTTACTCTCACACTACCCAAGTTTGATACCGCCGCAACCGGCATGGATGCGCTGAGCCACGCCGTCGAGGCTTATGTAAATATATTACAGACCGAGCAAACGGAGCGTGACGCCATCACGGCGGTGAAACTTGTTTTCGAGAATCTTCGCAATGCGTACAACGATGGCAGCGACCTTGAAGCTCGTACGAAAATGATGGACGCTTCGTATATTGCAGGGCTTGCCTTCACACGTGCATACGTGGGCTACGTTCACGCGATTTCACACACGCTTAGCGGGCTGTACGACTTGCCGCATGGATACGCCAACGCCGTGCTTCTTCCACCTGTTCTTGAGGCATACGGCCCTCCCGCGCACCGCCGTCTAGCCAATCTGGCCGAGGCCATCGGTATTTCCAAAGGCAATGACGCCGAACGCGCTCAGAAGTTTATTCAGGCCATCAGAGACCTTAACGCGGCACTGGACATCCCGGAAACGATGTCATGGAAAGAAGAAAAACACGTGATCAACAAGGATGATATTCCATTAATGGTATCCCGCGCTCTCAGTGAAGCTAACCCGCTGTACCCTGTACCGACTATTCTCGGCGCGGAGGAGTTAATAGAAATCATAAAACAAATCATGTGACCCGAAGTGTAACGATTCTTTCGTGAAAGCATGTATATATTTTTTTGCTTTGTTTTGGTAAATCTTCATAACATAACGGACAGTGAGTTATTTATGTTTCAGGGAAGATTTTTTTTGGTACTGATATGCGACACCTTAAGGGACACACTAATTTCCATTGAAAAAAACGTTTGAATAGTTTCATCCCAAACACTCACCCCTTCGCATTTGGGCGGAGTGGAAAGTGTGCCAGATCGTTGCCCTATAACGCCGTTGATCCTTTCCTAACTTAAGAAACCTATTCCATGGCGACGCCTTCTGTAAAAATATGACGAAAGTGATGATATAATATGGTGTTTTATGTATTTTGAAAGGGTAAGAGAAAAAGGATGCGATGCATATTAAAATAATTTTTGTGATGGTTTCAGCGAAATATTATATTTTTAACGCATGCTGTAATTACATACAATAAATATAAATATATATATATATATTTATATTTATATAATTATTCGTTTTATTTTTTGATTAACCTCCAGTTGACCATAAACTCCCCAAACCCAACACCTATCACAAGCATCTGTACTTTGATCGGGCGGAGCGAAGCACGCAACCAGGCAGCTGGCAAGCAAACGAAAATGGGCAAACTTAAAGCTAATCTTATTCCCCTTACCACAAAAAAAAACTATTTATTAAGTCAACCTCAAGATATCTGCTGTCAATAGCTTCTAATAGATTAACGCCCTTCTCCAAGTGATGCTGATTTGTGGGGTAACAGCTTGAGCCGCGCCTTGCTGCGATACCGCTCCGCGGCAGGGCATCTCCATCGCGTCCAACTCGATTCCTCCGCTGGATCACAGCCCCCATCCAGGATGAACTTTGTGAAGAATTTTGACTTCCGTCATGATGGGGATCGCTCCCGTCAACTCGGGGTGGGGGTAGTCTGCTAGTCTAGAAGTTCCCGTTGATCTGCGGCACACCACATGCTCACGATAACTTCCTCTGGCGAAGCCACCTCAACACCCTCCTTCCCCTCCTAACAGGGGAGGAACTGCTGCTGGACCCACGGACGGATGGTATGTTCATCCCTCCACTTCTACCGATACGTATATTATACCACTACACTTGTCTCAGAAGCACATCCTTGCAATAGTCGACCTCAAAGTCCTCAAGGTCCTGCAGATTCAACGTCAACGTCCACAAACCATGGGCCTTGGCATGACGACCCTCACTCACGGGAGCATTCGCAGCCGAAAGTGGGTCCATGGTGCGGGTAACCGCCCATTTGCGCTCCAGCGCCAGTTCCTCGCGCAGGCTCTCGACCATGAGGTTGAGCAGGATGCGCCCGATTGGCACGACCTCCCACAGCTCATCTGTTTTTTTTCTACTGACCTTCGATACACGATGCAATGAGTCCGCCTCCTGCGCCGCCCATGCGGCGATGTGAATGTGCCGAGGACCTTCACAAGTACCACACATGATGTAGTCAAAGCTAGCGGTTTTGTCCGAGACATCGATGCAGCAGATGTCGCGCACCTTGAGCGACCGAAGCACCTCACAGAGCTCCTTGACATCCTCCACATAGGCTTTTCGGGCGTCTTGCCACGTTTCGTCAATGGCGCCATCCACTTCCATTTGGAGTAGCATCTCCGCAAAAGCCTCATCGTCGTATGGCAAGGAAGAGGGCTCCGGCATGCGGTCGTATGTCTGATGGGTAGTAGCGCCATCCTTGTCCATCAAAGCTGAGTCGAACAAGCCCTTCGGCATGATGGCGGATTTCAAATCCTGTGTTGCGGACCCTTTCTCTTCGTCACCTACGCTGCCGCTCGGCGACGACTTCGCGTGTTCTTCTCCTACATCCTCAAACGGGAGGGACTCTCCACCGGGCTGTTCCATGGAACGGCTGTTGGACCGCGGAATAGGCTTCCCCCCGCGAGGGGTTTCCAAGGGGATGTGGAAGCGCGAGTACTCAACCCCAGGGTCCTCCGGTGGCGTGTGCACAACCCCAAGAATCGGCTCATCTTCTTCAAATCCACAAATGCTCGCTGTGGGAAGATTCGCTGCAGCCGTGCTTGTAGTGATACCAATGGGACTGTTGTTGCCTTGCTCGTCTAATGTGTTGTTGTTCAACTCAATTGATGCATAGAGATCTACGAAGTCGTCGTCTAGGAAACCCGTATTAGAGTGAATTCGTCGCGACTGGCTTTGCATGACGCCGCTGCAAAACATTGGAACAGGGCAGACGATTGAAGGCCGCAGTCGATAACGCAGTGGTATCGAAGCGTCTCGAATCAATTGGCGCGGTACGAGCCGACGAGGCGCCGTCAGGACTCGAGAAAAAGCAAGCGACGGGCGTACATGAAATTTCATTTTACCTCTTGCAGGAGATAATTTGGTACCGTTATGAGTAGGTTTAGATGATGTGTCGAATTAATAGAAAGAGAGGAATAAAAGGTTGAAACAAGAAAGCAAAACAAAGCTAATCAGATATTGTTGAGAAATTAAAAGTTTAACTGACAGGAATAAGTAGCTCGTGATTACGATAATGTCCTCTTCTGGTGATCGTTATAAATAAACGGGAGGGGCTGGGGGAGAGGAGGACAAAGAAATTTCAAAGCCAAGTTGCAAATGCGACCAAAACGGTATTCAAGGTAATAAAGACCGAAAAATAAGATAATGAAGAGACTGGTTCTCTTCCCCTTTTATTCCCCACCACGTGCTAAGGGGGGAGACAAGTAGCCGAAGAGGGGGCGCAAATGCGCATCATATGAGCATACCATTCGCAAAAAAAAAGTATTTTAGTATGACCCAGGAAAGCGGATAAGACTTAATGATAGAACATTATAATTCTCAATAAATTTATCATTAAACATTGTCCAGGGGAGGGGGAGAGGTCATGTTGAGGAAGTCATTTCACATTGGACAATAATCAGAGTCCGTCTGACTCCTCTCGCCACGCTATAGCCCTGTTTACTACCCTTTCCCCTACACCGTGGAGATTCACTTAACCCACGATGTCGGGAAAGCTTCGTTCTCATGCTGCCAACGCATTCATTTATATTGATGGAGCTGTTGTACGCGAGGTGCCCCACGACCCAGACTTTGACCATGTAAGCAAGAAATACACCGGGCTAACGCCATAAACGATCGAAGCCCTTGTTTTCTGTTTACTCCCCCTCCCCCCCCCCTGAAAAAAATAAAATAAATATCCAACAGTAAAGGACAACGTGCTCGATAAGAGGGAGGGTACCTTCGTGCTTCCTCAGGGGACACCTTCCCAGACGCCCCGCGGATCCATTTCAGTGTCACACAACACGGGCACTCCCTTGCGAAAGGGGACGGATTTTAGCGCTGACTAAAAAACATGGTCTGTCCAGTGGCTAAGCCAACAGCCATTAAAGGTCCGATAGGATGCCACGCGATCGCTGTGGGGACATTTGGACAGCACAGCTTATCGATTGGAACGGCCCCGCCACCCATGCCAACGTCGTACACGTACACCGCGTCGTTTTCACTGCCCACCCCTAACATGCTCCCATCCGGCGAGAACGCCAGGCCCAGGGTTGGAAGTGCTTGGTTCTTGTGGAGCGCGAACTGCCGCACCGGCTTCGATTGGCGCAGATCCCACACGTACACGGCGCCGTCTAGGCCCGATGTCGCGAAGAGATGCTGTGCGCTTAGTGAGCAGGTCCCGTCCGCAAAGCGGCTTCCTGTGCACATTGCCACGTGATGAATCTGCCTGCTGTGGGCCTCGTTCATAACACGCAGAGGGGCCTCAGCAGCGAGGTCGAGAACACAAATCTGCTTATTTGAACTCGCCAGCACCACCAATGTGCTGACGAAATGATTAATGCAATCCATCGCTGTGATGTTCTGGGCCTCGTTGATGGCGTAGGTGAAAATCGGATCAAGGATTCTCGGAAGGGTCCCCGAGGCGCCGTTGTCGAGGTTACCATCCCGTCCACCCCCCCCCGCCGAGCGACTCTTTTTAGATGCCGGGGTCGGCCAGGGGGACTTTGTCGCCTGATCCCTGCCGAGTGTATGCTGCGATAACATCACCCGGTTCTGGCTTGTAAAGCACAAGAACTTGTCCATATAGTAAAACCGCACCGCTCGAATTTCCGCCGCCGCATTGCCCGCACCCTCGCTTCCCTTGGGTAACGTGTATGCAAGCAGCGGAGCCTCACATACGGTCGGTTTCCAGACGTGAATGACGCCATCCGCGCCGCTAGTCGCGACCATGGGCGTTTTAAGAGACATGTTGATGCTTGAGGAAAGAACGGCGGCCGTGTGTGCGCGCAGGAAGGCCCCGTCCCCCTGGTACCGACTCAGTGGAAGCTTGAGGTAGTACGCCGATCGATCCCCGCTCGTGGTCACCAACGCCCCCCCGTTCGCCGTAAAACAATTCGACCGCACCACCGCCTGATGCACCTGGGCGCGTGTGGCGAGCACGCGATTGGCGGCACCCGCGGCGGCAAAGGGGTGGGCCTCATAGGGCACACGTGGGTTATACATGAGGAGGTCCGACTCGGCCGGAACAAGGCCCTTCGCGCAGGCCCCAGCCCTCGCCTTGAGCTTCCGCTTGCGTTCCTGCTGGACGGACCACGGCGCCTCCGTGTAGTTACTGCTCCTCACCGCCTTGACGGGGGGGCGCGGGGGATCCTCCGCGGGAGGGGGGCCCAACCAGCGTCGCGGCAGCGCCATCCGGGCGTGCACCACATCCACCTCCCCCCCCTCGGCGTCCTGCGCATGTGCCCATCGCGACAGGGAGGGTTGGAGAGGGAACCCACTACTACTATAATATCGGAGGGTCAAACTCTCAGCAAACCAAGCTCCCCAGCTACCGTTTGGCGCACATTGTATCTCGATTCTCTGACTATCTTCGATGTGAGCATCGTCAAGCTCGAGGTTTAACGGCTCGCATAGGTCGTCCCCCGCGATGGACTGCACCCCACCTTCATCCAGCAGAAGTGTGTGTTTGTCAACGTGAAGCACACTGCGTGGCGTCGCGATGCATATCCAATTCCCCAACGTAATATCCAAAATGGTGGAGCCATAGACCCGTGCGAGATCAGCGGCGTGCTCACGCACTTGCTGCCCCATCCCAACGGTGGAGGAGGGGAAGTAAGAAGATGGGTCCGATCGTTTTGGTTGGGTTCCCACACGCCTAGTAGAGTACGCATGCGAAAGCGATTTACCAAAATAAGCCGTGAGCATTGCCTGGGTGTCCAATACTTTGAACACCTCCAGACGCTCCGCATGCAGGACGTGGACCAATCCGTTCGAAAGCCCTATCACGAGCAAACACTCCTGCACGGAGCCAGCAGCCATGGCGACGACGGTGTGCTTGTGAGTGATAATGTGGCCATCTCGTAGAAAACTAGTCGTGAGCTGCAAAACATCATCCAGATGAACTTGCACCGCAATTAGGTGATTATCGGCAAATAGTATACAAAGACGGTCCGTTGAAAGAAAGCAGGTCCGCACACACCCCTCCTTGGAAACGTGTCTATTTTCTCCACAAAACAAGGTGTGTGCTGATAAAAACGAGTAGTTGTGCACCTCACCGTCCATCGCAGCGAGAGCATCGTCCTCTAAGCGTGGAAAAGAGCCGCCAGTATTGCCCTCAGGCGATCTCAAAACAAGCAAAAGATGACCTGAGGTGGAGAGGGCCGTAAGCAGGCCACCCGGGGCGATGTCTGCGTGCGATAGGGCGCCGGATGCAGACAGCTGCAGTGACCACCGTTGTAGAATACTGCATTTTTCTTGAATCTTCACTCCGGCGCGATTTGGTGATGAAAGCGACTCATCGAATACTTCGTCGCGGTCTTCCATAGGGTTTAGTGGTTTATCGTCCTGAAGATGTGCTTCAGGCACGACTCGCAGTACATCAATTGTGTAAAAGTTGACGTGACCGAGATTATCACAACAAAGCAGACAGCCATCTTCGGATGCCACCATCTGGCACGGTTCAAACCAAGACTCAAGCTCGGTGAGGAGCTGAATATCTTGCCCGCTGCTGCGAGTCCAAATATACAGGCTATGGTTACCTTGATCCATCCACACAACGTAGTCCGAGGTTGTGACAAAGCACTGGACAGGTGCCTCACAAAGAATATCTCGGAACTCATCTTCTTGAAGCATCTCTCTTCCCTAGACGGACGGTTCGGTTATTTCGCTCTTTTATTTGCTGAGGAAAACACCCAACGAATGCATGCTACGGAAATGAGTATGGAATCAAAGTAGCGCTAATGAAATGGGCTAGACTTCAAAAAATATAGAATATTCTAGAGAGCTTTGTTACGACCAAAGAAAAACTAAGAAGTGTGATTGTAAGTTCAATAGGTACAGGAAGCAAGCAGACCAAGGAGGGCTAACGTGCCATGGTGCCCAGTCGAGTTGTCTATGATTATTATTTCACACAAAAGTTGGATTAAACGCACCGTTAAAGAGTACTCTAGACGAGCGATGGCAAAATAAGGAAAAATGGTAGTACCACTGTCAGTTTAGCCAAGTAACAGGGAGAAATATTGCAACGTGTAACAAAAAAAAATGAGCATTAGGAAGGCGATAGACAGCTTCACGAAATAAAAATTTGGCATCAATTGATTGAATTTGTAAAGAATACATGCCTATTAAACAAATAATACGCGAAGTCAAGGAGCAAACATATCATTAACTTGGGTAAATGAAAGTCAATGAAGGATATACACTCCAAGTTTGATCGACGCTCTTCCTCTTCCTCTTCCCTATCCCCCCTCCCCCCCTTGGGGTACTTTGAAGCTAAGACTTAATTATTGATTCAAATAACAACTACTAAATGCAGTATTGCATCAAACATGCGTAAAGGAAAGCTTATTCGGCAACGTGAACACTCCCTTCTACATTATAACTTATATGCGTCTCTTTAGCAAACAACGGGTTATCACACAACAAATGCAATACATAAGATAGCTAACTTTAGCCCTCGGGCTAAACATGGAAAAGTATTGTATTAGAGAATCATGCTTTGCGATTACTTTTTTTTCTGTCTGTTACAAAGAAAAAAAGAAAAAGCAAGGCAAGAACACAACGAAAACAGCCTGAGGTAAAATATAAAAATTATCCAAAGTACAGTAGAAGAGAAAAAAAATAACATTTTCTCGTTCTTTCAAAACGCAAGGGGCCTTGAAGGCACATAGGACAATAAGAAAGTTGTATGAAGACATCTATTTATAGAGATATCCAATTTCTCAACAATTTTAGGAGCTTCATTCTCAAAATAGTTAGCGAAGCATAACATATGCAGATATATAAATATATATAAGTTTATATATATAAATACGTTCCAACGTACTCCCCGTTGCTCTTTACTGGTCATACTAAGCTAAACTGAACAAAAATAAAAAACGACTGAAAAGAATTAACAGAGCTCTCCCCTTCTTCGCTGTGGAAAACCTAAGTATGCCCTCGCGATTCTATGAAGTTTTAACTAATCGATTTTACAGCATAGGAGAGAAATACGAGTATAATGCAATCATAAAAACTAACCAAGGCTTAAATATGCATTTTACTAGTGCCTTTCAGGAAGTGTGGCGAATTAAATATTAGGATAGTACGAACAAAGTCGGCAATCGAATTTTCGAGAGTATACACAACCACTTCCATTTCCAGAATTAACATCTAATCTAAGTAGCACATGAATCGAGATCCTTATTCTCATCCAATAACAAAAATACAGTAATGGTGTATGCTTTATCATATTTTGACACCAAAGTTTATTTTCTCGCACTTAGATTTTATTTAAATTGTGATTGGAAACATTTTCTAAAAGGAAGAAAACCCCCTTCTAACGTGAAATGTTATTCCTAATCTTTTTATTTTTAATGTATCAACATTTTTTCCTTTTGCTGCATAAAAGGAACTGAGACAGATTCTTTTCCCTTGATAAATTTTATGGAATTCATTTGCACTTCTTGGCTATCGTTTAATTGACTATAGAGAGGAATCAGAAATGGTATAGACTAAAAAGGTAGAATCAATCACATGAGTAAAACTAAGGAAGCTCAGTTAAACCAATGTGAAAGATTTTGTCCCCTTGCCTCTACACATACACTGATTCAAACACTGCAAGATCTATCGGACTCCCCAAAAAAACTGCACCATCCACTTAATTTTGTACAATATTAGGCTCCCCGTTTAATTAAATCTAGTAATCCATCTCAAAACGATTAACCTAGGACATGCGGAAATATTTATTAATTTCCCTAAAGTCTCTTTCACCTCAAGAGATACAGAAGGGCAACTAGCATGCCGCGGCTGACAAAAAAAAGTCTACTTCGGGCTAGTGGTGCTTATAGAAGAATTGGCGAGGACCCCATGTGAGCTGGTTCTCGCGAAATGGGTGTGCGAGTACCCGGTGAAGCCACCATTCTGACCCCCATCGTGTGCCGAGCAGAGGAACCCGCTAGTGTTGTTCGAAGTACTAGTTGAAAACGTGTTATTCCCCATCGGCGAGCAGTTGTTGTGGCTGATGCCGTCGAAGTGGACGAGGACCCCGCCACTGAGCATGGGGGCCCCACCCCTCGGCGTGCTCGGGCTCGGCGTCCCGGGCGCCGACGAGATGGGCGTCAAGAGGGCGTAGGGGTTATGCCGGTAGTGCATGCTCCCGCTCACGCTGAGGGTGCCGCTGCGCATCGCGGGCGTCTCGATGGAGACGCCGGTGTGCCCGAAGCTGTGCCCGCTCGGCGCGGTGTTCAGCGGGAGGAGGTTGGCCAGCAAGTTGCTGCTCCCTTCCAGCGCCGCGTCGGGCCCGAGGCTGAAGCTGAGCGGGGTCACCGAGGTCGGGCGGTCCGCCGAGCACGGCTCCATCGCGGACATCCGCG